AAAGAATGAGAGAAATACAGACGAGGCACGGTGGCTGACATCTATAATTCCAGCACTTTGTCTGAGGCAGGAGGTTCGCTTGACGCTAGGAGGTCGAGGCTGCAGTGAGCTATGATCACACCACTGCACTCCAGCTTGAACAACCGAGTAAGACCCCCATCTCAAAACACAAATCAATCAATCAATATAAAATAAATGGTGCTGGGAAAACTGGATATCCATATGCAGAAAAAAGAAATTACATACCCATTTTTCACTGTATGCAAAAGTCAACTCAAAATGGATTAAAGGCTTAAATGTAAGACCCAAAACTATGAAACTACAGAAGAAAACATTAGGGAAATGCTATAGGACTATCTCAGCAAAAATGAATGCTTATTGGTAGCATTTAAATTCATAGTCAGGAATGATGGTGATGTCAAGCAACCACTGATTGTCCACATGGGTGGCAGAGATAGTGACACCTTTACTTTCTTTCCTTCTTTCCTTTTTTTGAGACAAGGTAGAGTGCAGTGGCATGATCATAGCTTACTGCGGCCTCCCAAGTCCTGCCCTCAAGTGAGCAACCCACCTCAGCCTCCTGAGTAGCTGGGACAATAGGTGTACTTCATCACACCTAGCTAATTAAAAAAAATTTTTTTTGTAGAGATGAAGTCTTACTATGTTCTCTAGGCTGCTCTCAAACTCCTGGGCTCAAGCGATCCTCCTGCCACAACCTCCCAAAGTGCTGAGATTACAGGTATAAGCCACCACATCCAGCTTCTTCAAAAAAAAAAAAAAGTGCCCAGAGAAAAAGTGACATTTTTGCTTTCAGATGGCTCAACATACACAAACTTTGTCTCACACACAAAATTACTAAAAACATGCTATAAAATTACCTTCAGGTTATATGCATAAGGTATATACAAAACAGAAATGAATTTTTCATTCATAAGATACCTTATTATATATTAGCAATATTCCAAATTCCAAAAAAATCCCAAAACTGAAACACTTCTGGTCCTAAGCATTTCAGATAAAGGATACTCAACCTGTACCAGACAAAATGAAATTTAAGGTAAAAGTTGTTATGAGAGGAGGCTGAGACAGACAGACTGCTTAAGCCCATGAGTTAAAGATTACTGTGAGCGGTGATCGCACTACTGCACTCCAACCTCAGCAACAGAGCTAGACACCCCATTTCTTAAAAAAAAAAAAAAAGGCTTTTAATTAAAAAATTGGTTATGAGACAAAGAAGGCCATTAATCAAGAAGACAATAATATAAACAAACATAACAAGAGCATACCAAAATGTATAAGGCTAAAAACTGACAGAATTGAAGGGAGAAACTGACAGGTCTACAATAGTTAGAGACTTTAACAATCTACTTTGAATAACAGAAAAAAGTAGACATAAGATCAATAAAGAAAGAGCGTACTTACATAATACTATAAAACAATTAGAGCTAAACAAATATGAATAATCCAACCCACAAAAGCAGAATACACTTTTTTTTAAGTGCACATAGAGGCAGAAGCAGGAGGATAACACTTTAAGCCCAGGAGTTCGAAGCTGTAGAGAGCTATGGTCACGCCACTGCACTTTAGCCTAAGCAACATAGCAAGATCTCGTCTCTATAAATACATAAATGAATGAGTGAATGGATGAATGAAAAATAAGAAAGATCCCAGATCAATACCTTAAGCAAGCAGAAAAAGAAGAGCAAGCTAAATTCAAAGCTAGCAGAAGGAAAGATCAGAGAAGAGANTGGCATGCTGTCTTCAAAAGATCCATCTCATATGGGTCTTTATAATGACACCCACAGGGTCAAAATAAAGGGATGGAGGAAAATCTACCAAGCAAGAGAAAAATAGAAAAAAATCAGGCAAACCAAAAGCTGGTTTTTTGAAAAGATCAACAAAATTGATAAACATTTAGCTAGACTGACCAAGATTTTAAAAAAGGACTCAAATTACTAACTTCAAAAAAGAAAGTAGAGACAATTCTGCAGATCTTAAAAATGAAAAGTATTAGAATACTATGAACAACTTGTACACCAACAGATTAGACAATCTAGGTGACACAAAGTCCTAGAAATGCACAAAGTACCAAAACAGATGCAAGAAGAGAGAAAATCTAAATGAATCTTAAGATTTAATCAATAGTCAAAAACCTCAGAAAGAAAAGCCCATGCTTACTTCAGCAGCACATATATTAAAATTGGAACAACACAGAGATTAGCATGGCCTCTGTGCAAGGACGACATGTAAACTTGTGAAGCATTCCATATTTTATTTTAAGACATGGTTTCACTCTGTAACCCAGGCCACAGTACAGTGGCACCATTATAGATCACTGAAACCTTGAACCCACTGGCTCAAGAAATCCTCCCGCTTCAGCCTCCCGAGTAGTTGAAACTACAGATGCTGCTGCCAGGTCCAGCTAATAAAAAAAAAAAAAAAAAATTTCTTTAGTAGAGATAAGATCTCACTATGTTGCAAAAGCTAGTCTCAAACTCCTAGCTCCAGGTGATCCTCCTGCCTCTGCCTCTGTGCTGAACTTACAGGAGTGAGCCATCACACCCAGTCTTTACAAACATTTAAAGAATAATTAACACCAATCCTTTTCAAACTCTTTCAAAAAAACAAGAGGGGAGAATACTAATTCATTATATGAAGACAGGATACCTTCTGTCTTCACATCACAAGAAAATTATAGACAGAAAATGCCTTACAAATACAAATGCAAAAGATCCTAAACAAACTACTAGCAAATCTAATCCAACCATCTATTAAGAGGATTACATATTACAACAAACTGGGATTTATCCCAGAGATGCCAGGGTGACTCACTTTATAAAAATCAAGCAATACTAGCTTTTTGTTTTTGTTTTTTAGGGAGATGGGGTCTCACCTTGTTGCCCAAGCTGGTCTCAAACTCCTTGACTCAAGAGATCCTCCTGCCTTGGCCTCCCAAAGTTCCAGTATTACAAGTGTGAGCCACTGCACCTGGCCTACTACACTAATTGAATGAAGGAGAAAAATCATAATCATATGGCCATCTGAAGTGATGCAAAAAGAAAAAAGCATTTGACAAAATCCAATATCCTTTCCTGATAAAATTACTCAAACTATACACAGAAGGAAACTTTCTCAATATGACTAAAAGATATTATAAAAAACAGTTAACATTACGTTTAATCCTGAAAGCCTGAAAGCTTTCCTCATAAAATGATGAACAAGACAAGGATGTCTTCTTTTGCCATTTCTATTCAACACTGTAATGCAAGTTCTGGCCAGAGCAATTAGGGAAGAAAAAGATGTAACAGCCATCCAAATTAGAAAGGAAACAGTAAATTCTCTATCTGCAGATGACTTCATCCTATATATAGAAAACCTAAAGAATACACACAAACAAGCTATTAAACCTAATATATAAATTCAGTAGAATCCATGTTATGTCTCTGTATATCTTCATATATACTAGTAATGCACAATCTGAAAATGAAACTAAAACAATTCTACTTACAATACCATCAAAAAGAGTAATATTAGAGGTATGAGGCACCACATCCAGCCCACATAAGAATAAATGTATCCAAGGAGGAATAAGAGTTGTACATTGAAAACTAGCAAACATCGCTGAAAGAAATTAAACAAAATCTAAATTAAAAGACACCCTATGTTCATGGATTGAGAGAATCAGTATTGTTAAGGCAGTATTATCCAAACTTGTCCACAGATTCGATGCCTCCCTTTCAAAATCTTAACAGTCTTTGTTGTGGAAATGGAAAAGCTATTCCAAAATTCGTATGGAGACTTCTGCTCCAAGATGTAAAGGGTTTGGAAGCTGTCAATACCATCCTCACAAGGGAAAACGAAAATGAAAAAGCTTAAAACAAGAACCCTTTTTAGATTCATCAGAGAACTTAGGTCACAGGGCAAACCACTGTCCTATAATGGACAGTGAGAAGCAGATACAAAAATCACAGCTTTCCAGAAAAAAAAAAAAAAATCCAGGAGCAAAACCCTACTGCTAGAGACATTACTTATTTTCGCAAACCCTACAAGCAAGTAGAGAGTGGAATTAACTATTTAAACTTATGAAAGATGGCCAGGTGTGGTGGTTCACGCCTGTAATCCCAGCACTTTGGTAGGCCAAGACAAGTGGATCGCTTGAGTCCAGGAGTTTGAGACCAGACCAATCAACATGCAGAAACCCCATCTCTACTAAAAATATGAAAATTAGCCAGGCATGGTGGCAAGTGCCTGTAATCCCAGCTACTCAGGAGGCTGAGGCAGGAAAATTGCTTGAACCTGAGAGGTGGAGGTTGCAGTGTGCCGAGATTGCAGCACTGCACTCATGCATGGGGGACAGAGTGAGATTCTGTCTCAAAAAAATAAAACAAATAAGTGTTGAAAGAAAGAAAAAAACCCACCAAACTAGAATTTGGTATACAATGGCATTATCCTTCAAAAGTGAAGAAGAAATAAAGATCTTCTCAGATAAACAAGAACTGTGAGAATTTGTTGCCAGTAGACCTGCCTTATGAGAAATGTCAAAAGAAGCTCTTCATAGAGAAGGTATAGACACAAAATTTGAATCTAACAAAAAAAAAGAAAAAAATTTGAATCTACATAAACAAGTAATTTTAGAGAAGGAAGAAATGAAGGTAAAATGAAATCTTACTTTTCTTAGTCTAAATTGATCTATTAGGCAACAATTTCTTCAAAATAATAGCAGTAATGTATTGGGTGATTATAGGTTCTGGGTAAGTGAAATGAATCACAAAAATGTCATAATTGACAGGAGGAAGACACTGGGTATCCTGTTAAAGGGTACCCACACAAACCATAAAGTACAGTGTTATTTGAAAATGTATATAAATTCCTTGTCAATGAATACTACAAACCACATAGCAATCACTATAAAATTTTAAAAAATTCACATGAAATTGCAAAAAATATCAGATAGCCAAAACAATCTTCAAAAAGAAAAATAAAGTTGGAAGATTCACTTCCTGATTTCAAAACTTATACAAAGCTATAATAATTGTAATTGTTTGGTGCTGGCATAGACAGACATACAGATCAATAAAACAGCACTGAGAGTCCAGAAGGAAACCCATACATCTATGATCAAATGGTTTTCAACAAGGGTATCAAGAGCATTCAGTAGGAAAAAAAATAGTCTCTTCAACAAATGGAAACCCATATGAAAAAAAATTGGACTTTATTTTTTCTGTTGCCCAGGTTGGAGTGCAGCGGTGCAATCTCGGCCTACTATAACCCCCATCTTCTGGGTTCAAGTGATTTTCGTGCCTCAGCCTCCCGAGTAGCTAGGAACGCCTAGTAGCTAGGTGAACGCCAACATGCCCAGCTGTTTTTAGTAGAGACAGAGTTTCACCATATTGCCCAGTTTGGTCTCGAACTCCTGACCTCAAGTCATCTGCCCACCTTGGCCTCCCAAGAATTACA